TCTCAGCAAATACTTCCATCTGTGAATTCTATGGAATTCTTTGGCATGAGTTTTTTTCTTGCGATCATTCTTCTTAGTTTCCAATCATTTCTTCAAACTCTTCATCTTCAGGTTCTGATATTGTAGTACTTTTGTGTTCCTTTTGAGGATCCATATCATTTCCCTTGTTTTATGTCGTATTTATGCATTTATTTTTAGGTATTTGTCAATACACATTTATTTTTCTCTGCTTGCTTTAATCTTTGAACTGTGCTTCTGTGGCTCTGTGGAGTGTTTGCTCCTTCAGTGGATATCCAAAGGTGTATGCTGGGTGGGGCTAGGGAACTGTTCTTTGCTCACCAGTGGAGCAGGCATCTAGGGTGACACCCAAGTTGGACATGGCAGATTTATATTGCCGGCAGCAGGGAGGGGTTGGTTACATATGGTGACTTAATCACAATCTCTCCTTCTTCCTTCTTCCAAGCTGATCAGTGCTGTGGGTAGGCCCATTGTGGGTTCAACGCCACTTATGCAGGCATATGAACGACACAGAGGGTCTCTGTGGTTCTCACTGTGAGCACAGAACCCTCTACAAAAACCCACTTCAGGCAGTCCGGGTCTCCTAGCCTCAGAAGCCAATGACTGCTTGGAGACCCATCTTTACCTATACCCTGTCTTGCAATCACAGAATCCTCAGTGTCTTAGCACGTAAGGTTCCCTAAGTCACCGGATAGAGAGGATCTACTTTCAGCCCTGCAAACGTACACCTGACCTCTGAGAACAGGCTTGTTTTCAGAGCCAGCTGCCTCTGGTTGCCCCCGATTTTGCCTCCCATTAGCCTGTGATAGGATTGGAAGATGAGGACACCTCACAGTTCCGAGTGGACCTCCAGCCCCCTGCAACACACCAGAGCAGACCTAAAGTCAGTGGCACATTTACTGGTCTGATAAAATTCCCTGGTCACACATGCATGAGAGCTGCCACAGCCTCTGCTGGTGTTAAAATGGCACTTTCTCCTTGCTGGTCACCAGGTGCCTTTGTATGCGGATGAGAAGAAAGAAATGTGCTTTTCCATCGTGGGATTAGATGGGAACCCTGCCCCTGCTAGGGCTCCTGGATGGACTCAAAAGTCAGTGTGGTCTGCAAGGTTTTCCCTCAAGTAATATCCGGTGACAATCTCTCATCTCACTGGACTCTCTTCCAGCCTCTGGCAGCAGGAGGTGAGAGTTGTGTCCCTACTCAAAGCTGTGTGTTTGTAGTGTCCACACTGGCCCACAGCATCTCTTCGTTCCACAGAATTTGCACTACAAACTTCTCTCCAACTCTCCTCTGGAAGTGCACTTCTTCCTGTTTTCTTCACTTACCTTCCCTGGTCCAAATCAGTGAATCTTTTCCGTATTCTACTATTTTGGTATTTTTCAACCTAAATATCAGTATAGTAACTATTTTAAATATATTTTATCAATGTTTCATATGGTAGTAACATACTTTTGCTTATATTGTCTTTGTCTCTAAATTGCTGCTTCCATCTCATCACAATAATACTCATTGATTCATTTGCTTAGATTGGTTGATTTATTTTAGAAGCAGAGAGACATGAAAGCTCTCATCTATTATTTCACTCCAAATACCCACAATGTCTGCTGCTAGGCTGGGAATTGGTAAGTGCTGAAGCCAAGACCTTGGAATTCAGTCCAGGTCTCACAATTTGCTAGCAAAAATTGAATGACTGGAGTTATCACTGCTGCCTTCCTAAATATGCAGTGATGGGAGCTGAACTCAAGAGCCAGGCTAGAACCTGGATTCACCCTCTCTGATGTTAGGTGATGATGTCCTTGTCAGTGTCTTAATTGCTTGATCAAACACCTACCACTTGCAATAGTATTTATATACATATAATGTATTAACGTAGTGAACAGTTTTCTATTTTTCTGGTTTATTTAAGACTGTTGAAATTATAGATTTTTCTCTTTTGTTTTAGTCAGAATTGTCACCAACATCAATTTGCAGGTTCAGAGTGTTTGTCTGTCTGTCTGTCTTGTGTTTTCGTTTTCTGCTGTTGGCCAGAGTTGGTAGTGGCCCTGCCTCCTCTGACATTAGTGCTTCCTCAGCGTCCTCCATGCACTCGGAGCTTATTGTGCAGACTGCCCTGCTGGTGCTACCCATGTGTGGTCCATCCCTTTCCCCCTGTCACTGCCTCCTTCCACACAGGTGTTCAACTGGAAAGGTGAATGATTGTCCCTCCATGGGGCTGCTGCTGAGGAGGGAGGCAGCTCCACAGGTAAGAGGATGCTTGGCTAGTTTTGGAACTACTTTATTCTGAAAAATATAATAAAAAACATTGGTATTAAATTGGTTAGATCCAGAAGGTTAATTAAAATAAAATATTTTGTGAAATCCATTGTATTTCCCTAGATACATGATTTTCTGAGTTATAATAAAGTCATATTTGCAGCATGACTGTTTTTTTCTCCATCTGATCAAATACAATGCTAGTCTAATTTTGCTTTGTTTTTAGAAAAATGGTAACAGAGGGATGGGTTTTTAACCTAGTAATTGAAATGCAAATTAATATATCCGTGTCCTGTACTGGGGTCCTGGGCTCAATACACTGCTCAGAACCCTGGGTCGGGTTTCCTGCTCGTGCAGACCCCAGGGGCAAGGCAGGCTGCCGGAAGCAGTTGAGTTTCTGCTTCCCATGTGAGAAACCTGGACTGTGTTCTGAGGTTCTGCCTCCAGCCTCTGTGCACATTCAGGGAGTGAGCCAATAAATCCTCTCATTTTCTATGCTTCTCTGCTTTTCACACTTAAAAATGTACACACTGATTAGAAAAGAAAGTGTTACTTTTCAGTGTGAAACAGTTTACTACTTGTGCCTAATAAAGCTCATTTTGTAAAGAAGACTAATTATTTGATAGTTCCATGAGTTAAAAAAATTACATAGATAGTCCTAGTACTACTTACAGCATTGTATTTTTCATAATGTAAAAAAATGAACAGTACTGGTGTACAGCATAGCATACCGTGTATGTATAGGAAGTTGCTAACTTAATTAGTAGCATGGAGAAAGTATAATTATTCTCTTTCTTTAAAAAAATTCCTTTAATAAGATGACATTGTGCAGAAGAATCTAATATTCTTTTGATTTGCTGCAGATAATAAAAATGATGGGAAGTTGTTAAGTTGTTGTGTTCACAACAAACAAGAACAAAGAATAATAAACCAAATTATGTGTAAATATTTAGTATTAAATAAAAGTAACATTTGAGGTTCAAATAAAGAATCATGAGCATCTCTATAGTCATTTGTTTAAAAAAATGAACGTTGTATAAGAAAACAAATTCCACAAGTATTAAAGACTTCAGTTATTTAAATTATGAACCAATAAAAACACTAGTGGATGATATAAATAGTAATATATGCTTGGAGGAATAAGAATTTTTCAAAGGAAGATCACAGGCACAAACCAAGAATTGAAAAATGCATAAATCTTAACAGTAAAATTTTATTTTTAGGATTTATTTATTTTTATTGGAAAGGCAGATACATAGAGAGAAGGAGAGAGAGAAAGATTTTCTATCTGCTGATTCACTTCTGCAGTGGCCGCAATGGCCAGAGTGGAGCCAATACCTAGCCAGGAGCCAGGAGCTTCTTCTGGGTCTCCCACGTGGGTTCAGGGTCCTAAGGCTTTGGGCCGTCCTCGACTACTTTCCCGGGCCAGAGGCAGGGAGCTGTGTGGGAAGTGGAACAGCCAGGACATAAAATGGCAATCATTTGGCATCCCAGTGGTTGCAAGGCAAGGACTTTAGCCACTAGGCTATTGCGCCAGGCCTGAACAGTAATATTCTTAAAAAAAAAAAAAAGTGTTTCACAAAGGCAAAAACAAAGTCTAATAAAAAAAATTGAGACATGCAATGCTCTGTGACTGTGTAACTAGTTCTGGTGACACACAGAACAAAAAAAGAACATTACAAATTACTATAAAAATGAGACTAATGGGAAAGCAGGTATAAAGAAAAAAATAGCAAAGGAGGCAGGTATTTATTCTAATGGGTAAGGCACCTGTTGGGATGCCCGCATGTCCTACTAAGTGTGAATTCCTGACTCAACTTCCAGCTCCTGACTCCCATTTCCTTCTCATGCACTCCTAATGAGGCAGTGGTTTGGTTCAAGTGATTGAATTCAGTTTCTGATCCTAGCTTCAGTCTGGCCTGGCTTTACATACTGTAGACATCTGGAGAATGAACCAGTTAATGATGCTTTTTGTACATTTAAAAACTTTTAATGGTAATAAGTGTAATACTCCATCCTTGTTGGTAATAAAATATTATTAATTAATACTGTTAATTATATAAAGCTCAACCTTATAGCAACAAAAAGAAAAGAACTAGTTAAGCAGAAATGTTAAGGGTTGATAATGATATGCACAATTGAAAAAGAAATATCTCTCTGAACCATTTGCAAGGGATATAAATTGATTGTATTTCTCTGAAAGGAAATTTGTGAATTTATGTGTTTATGCATTGATTCAGCAGTTCTGTTAGGAATTTAATTTAAAAAAATAATACAGACTGCCAGCATTGCAAACAGTTGTTTCATCAGCCATGCCATATATGTGCCCTAGATGTATGTGTTCTTGAATAAAAACTTCAATATTTGTGTTTTAGCAACTAACAAATAAATGTGTGTACATAGGAAGATGTCACACTCTTTTGGGTATTTGTGGGTGGCATATGCATGCATGTGGGGGGTACGCAGGGATAAGCGCCTCCTAGGGATTGCGTGCTGAATACTGTTCATCTCTAGGTTGTATAATTACTGCTAATGTTTGTTTTTTCTGTCTATCTATACTTGCTGTATTTACAAAATATTTGACAATTAGCATGTTTTAATGATACATCAAGAAATCATGGAATTTTTTTTTCAATATTTTCTAATAACATCACAGAATGTTCTGAAGTTAGAACTACCTTGGATATAACCATTTTAATGAAAACAGTTTATGTTGTTTTTTATATTAGAATGAAAAAAAACTTGAAAAGGAAAAGAAGAAGCAGGAGCTGGAGAAAAGCAATGATGGCTGTTCCCTGAAACTTCAGATGGACCATGAACAAATAGACACACAGAGCCGGATCAGTGACAGCAGCCAAAAAAACAATGAGTTTGGAATAGCAGAAAATTATAAAGAGACATTGACACAGCAGTTAGCAAATGAGGATGAGACAGACCAGCAGTCTTCAGAATCAGGTGATAAAAATAATTGTTTCATGTGTATATAAAACTTAGTTGTACTTCATTCATCATATTTTATACAAAATTCTGTAATATTTAGTCTACAAAAATATACGTATCAGATTTTCTCAACAGCTCTAGCTGTTCATTAGCTAATTTTATTTTCATAAGTGTGTGGTATAGAATTTAAGCCTATAGAAATTTTCAAAATGTATTTAGCTTCTGTAAGTTTTTTGTTTGTTAAAGCCTCATAATTCTACAGTCAGCAGCATTTCCTGTATAGACTAGCTATATATACATATAGTATGCTAACATAATCAGTGGATTTTTTTTTAAGTTTGTGTCTTTATCTTAAAGAGTTAGAGAGGGAGAGACAGGGAGAAAGAGATGATCCATCTGCTCGCTGGTTCCCTGCCTGGGTGGCAGCACCAGCCAGGGCTGGGCACAGCCAAAGCCACGCACTTCTGGCTTTTCCTCATGAGTGACAGAAGTCCGACCTCTGTGGCTTTTACTGCTTTTTCCAGGCCTGCCTGCAGCTGGATTCAAAGACAAGCAGAGGGACTCAAATTGGTACCTCTATTGGTTGCTGATTTAACTTGGTTGCACCACAGTCCTGGCCCCAGAATTATTATTATTTTTTTTAGTATTTTGTTGGATAGCCACTATCACTTTATTTTTCAGCTTAACTGTTTATTTGTGAAACAGAAAGAAGGTGAGACAAAGCTAAAGAGAACTTTGTCCACCAAACCCCCACATAGTCAAGGTTAGATCAGGAACAAAGTTGCAAGTCAGAAATACTGTCTATCCAGGTCACTTGCAACATAACTGCTTGAGCCATCATCAGTGTTCCAAGAATGTGTGTTACCAGGAAGCTGCACTTAGCAACCATAACTGGAAATAAAGCCCAGGTGCTAGGATGTGGAATGCTTGCACTTTAACTGCCTGTCCTCTTTAATATCATACAGAATCTTCAACTAATAATCGCTTTCCTATTTCTAACTGGTTATATGACTGAAAAAGAGGTTTCATATTTTTTGTTGTCGTAGATAGGCTATGTTTAGAATAAAAGAACCTATGACAGAATCCTCACTCCCTTCTGGTGGAAATCAGGGAAAAGTCCTACCCGTGGACTGTGTAAGGCTTGTGAAATCATTCAGTCTGCTCTTGCCAAAGCAGTGGCAGGTAGGACTTGAAATTCAGTAAACCTATATAGAAGGCTAATTTTTACTTTGATAATTTCATAATGGTCATCAAATAGTGTTATAAATGTCCAAATTACCTTTGGCAGAAAAAAAAAATTGTTCTCCTCCCCTGTACTAAATAATCTTAAGTTATATACCATCGTTGAGTTTTCATCTTTGGTGTAGTAATGAGCATCTTTTTCACCCACCATCCATGGTTACCTCTAATTCTTTGCATAGTGTCTTCCTCGTGGGAAATGCACAATAACTGTAATTTTCTTCCTCTTCCTATTAGTGATATAGATTCACTGTATGTAAGAATTTTATTTTTACATAGTATCACAGAGTAATAGAAAATAAACTCCAAATCTTTACGGTACTCATTAGTAATATTGATTATCTTGCTGAGTGCAAAATATTAAGATGGGTAAGGTGCACATTTTGTGAGGCAGCCAGATTCATACCTGTTTTTAACTGTCAGCAGATAAGGGGAGGGGAATGGGTAGCAGTTTCGCCAGCTATAAGATGCCTTTCGGTATTTTTGAATCCCACATAAGAATCCCATATTAGAGTTGAGGAGGCCTCTTTGCTTCCAGTTCAGCCCCATTGCTATTGCTTACAATGGGGAGCAGCAGGTGATGGCCCCAAGTACTTGGGTGTCTGTTACCCAAACAGGATGTCTGGGAAGAGTGTAGGCTCCCATCTTGATTCTGTCTCCTGTTATTGCGTACCTTAGAGGCAGTCAGCAGGTAATAGCACACATGGTCAGATGTCTGCCACCCATGTTGGAGAACTGGATTGAGTTCCATGCTTCTGGCATTGGCCTGGCGTGGTGGGTGAGAGATCTCTGTCTCTTTACCTGAAATGATAATAATGATAATGATAATGATAATAATAATAATAATAATAAAATAAGCTCCCTTATATAAATGACAATATCATTTGGTATTGAATTTGGAGAAGTTGAATAACCTTCTTTAAGATTAATGTGTTTTGTGGGCTTCAAGGCCAGAACCCCAGTCCAGAACTTGTGAACTGCTCCACACCCTCTGCTCTTCCATGACATTGCCCTTTAAGAAGTAGGTACATTTTTAGAGCTTGCTTTGTGTGGTCCCACCTGTAAAGCTGACAGTTCTTAGCTTTGGTCTGGATTGAAATGTCTCAGATGACACTAATTGATTAGAAGCATAATTTTTTTGAAGATTTATTTTTATTTACTTGATAAGTAGAGTAAGAGAGAGATGTTCCATTTGCTGGTTCATTGCCTGGATGACCCTGACAGCCAAGCCTGGGTCAGGCTGAAGGCAGAGCTAGGAACTTCATCCAAGTCTCCCACATGAGTGGCAGGGGCCTAGGCACTTGAGTCATGTGCTGCTGCCTTCCCCAGGAGTTGGGTCAAAGGGGGGCAGTTGGGTCTCAAACTGGCATACCTTTGTATGGTGTGGCGTAAACCACTATGCTACAACACCAGCCTTCCCCCCTAATTTATTTCTAGATATGGAAAGAGCATAAATTTCATTTTGCTTTGTCTATTAATGTCATTTTTGATATATAGATACAGATATAGATAACAGAAATTCTTTGTTTTAGGGTTATTTTCATGAGAAATATGTTTAGATGATTGGGGTGCTTTTTTCACATTTCAAGTAATTTTGGAACAATTTATGTGTAGAACTACAAGCTACTTATCCCACTGGAAAAACACTCTCTTTTCCTTCCCTAGGCTATTCTAAATTTTGCAAAAGGCCTGCAGGTAAATAAGTTATATTTGCTTAGTATGCCATTTGAACTAAATAGAAGTTGCTTTGGAACTGTCAAGTGGGAGCTGGTATTTTGGCATAGAGGGTTAAACCACTGCTTTTGATTGTAGCATCCCCTATCTGAGTGCCAGTTCAAATTCTAGCTGCCACCAAACTGCATGGGAAACCTGGAGGGAATGTCTGGTTTTTGCCTTCTGCTTGGCTCAGCATTAGCTGTTGCTGATAATTGGGGAATGAACTAGTTGATAGACAATCTCTCTGTGGCTCTCTAACTTTCAAATAAACAAATCTCTTAAAAACAAGTTTCAAGTATAAACTTGCTTATTGTTTTTACCATATTTATCAATAATTCATTGATTTGGTCAGAATCATTTAAAAAAATCTGTCTCACTGAACAAATTTGCATTTGATTATTGATAAAATTTCCAACGGCAAATAGGAGATGTCTGTACGATAGAGCCTCAATATTTTAATGTTATTATTTGTTTCTTGTTATGGAAGATAACTTTTTCCTGAAGAAACAAAGTTCCTTCTTTATAATTCCACAGATAACAATAAAAAGAAGACTAAGAAACTAAGAATGAAAAGGAGTCATCGAGTAGAACCAGTGAATACAGAAGATTCAGCGCCTAAGAGTCCAACTCCACCACCACCTCCTCTTCCTGGTGAGTCAACTGAACTCGACACTAAACTTAGGAACATTAAATACAAAGAAATAGGAATTGTGTGGTGCTTTATTCTCTGCATTTGTTACCTTGTGAGTTTGTGAAAATAATCTTTTATTCTACTTTGTTCAATATTTATTCACACAAATAATTACTTTTTCATAAATGTTTTGTGAAAAGAAAATATAACTAAGCACTATTAATAAAACCTTATCCAGTACTTCTAGAAATTGTATTTGAAATATCAGTACCCCTATTAGTAGAAGAAATTTAAGCTTAAGGAAAAAACTGCTAATACAAGCTTTAATTTTTATTTTAGAATTTTTTGAATTCTACGTCTCATGTTTCAATATCTGAAACTCAAAATTTGAGAGCTTATCTATGTATGTCCAACATACATATCCACCTCTTAAGTTGATAGGAGCAGTAGTGAATAAAGCTTGTAAAACACTAGAGCATGCCTCCCCAGTAATCAGACCTTTGGCTCTGAGCATAGTATCTCACCGATGATCAATGCTTAATTAATATCTGGTGAGTGAGTAAATATATTCTTAACGTCTTTGTGTCCTTGACACAAGGTTCTAAATGCCTCCATTAACTTTTTTTTTTTTTTTTTTTTGGTGAAGACTTTGTTCCACTTAATAAGACTTAATTTTTGCTAAGGGTTGGAATGATAATAGTGGGAATGCTTATATTTTACATTAAAGGTGAATAGAAACTTACAGCAGCTATCTATAGCCCTTACACTTTTAAGTAGAAGCCATGTAGAAGGAGTTTTTAGCTATTTGCTGCTATATCATTTGGTATATTTGTATTACATTTAATGTCATGTATACTTCCTGTGAAGGAAGGGATCCTTTCAACAAGTTTGAAGACATTATTTAACAGTTTTAAAATGTTTTTCTTTTTCTTTAGTTGGCTGGGGAACCCCCAAAGTCACTAGACTTCCAAAACTTGAGCCTCTTGGTGAAACACGTCATAATGGTAATGCAAATGATCAACTCTCACATATCTGTCCATGTTCTATCCATTTTTCTTTACCTCCTAACTTCAGCAGAATTGTTTTTACTTTTGGAAGCCTTTCAAATCCACCGCCATCTTTTTTTATTATACACCTTTATTATTATTATTATTTTTTTGATTTAAGTTTTGATTTTCAAGTGCACTTTGCATGTGATATTTCACCTTAAAATATAGGGGTAAAACTCATACTAGCTTATGTTTATACAGATGTTTGAAAAAAAGATTTGAAATATGAGCTATTATATTTGTCCTTAACTAGTTTTAAAATCTGCACTGTCTTGTATATTTTCAGTGTGCTTAATGAGAATGCTACATTTTTCTCTCTGCTAAAGATATAAGCCGTTAAATATTAAAACGAAGTAAAAGTAAAATCATAGATAAAATCACTAAACTAAAAAAGCTTTAGCTAAATAGAAAATTATCAGATGCTCTGTTGAGTATTAAACAAATTCTGTTTATTAAGAAAATGTTTTCTTTGAGTGAAATTAATATTATCTGGGGCCAGCGTTGTGGTGCAGTAGGGTAATATGCCCACATCCTATATCAGAGTAGCAGTTCAACTGCTGGCTGCTCTGCTTCCGATATAGCTTCTTGTTAATGCACTGGGAAAGGATTGGATGATGTACAAGTACTTTGGCCTCAACCCAAACGAGAGACACAGATGGAATTCTGGGTTCCTGGTTTTTGCCTGACACAGACCTAACTTGCAGCCACTGGAGAGTGGCCTAGCACGTGAAAGTTCACTCTTCCTCTCTCTCCTTCTCTCTCTCTCCTTCTGTTTTTGTCTGTCAGATTTTGACATTCAAGTGTAGGCAAATAAATTGCCCATTAATAACATTCAGCACGCTTTAATGGCTCTGTATTTCCTAATCTATAGCTTGATTTCCAATGGAGATCATTTACCAGAAAACGATCAGAAGTTCACTTGAGAAATATATCACCATATAAAAGATAAATTATTATTCAAGAAGTATGTTAGTCTAAATGTGCTATTTACATTCTTTTTCATACTATAGATCTTCTATAATATAATAAAAATATTCTTTATAGTCATTCATGAAAATTAAAGATTTTGTTTTATAACAAAAATTATTGATCTATACCACACTTACTGAAATGATGGAGGTAGTTGAGTCACATATCTAGTTTACTCATTTTACAGGGACATTTTTATTGACTACAGTAGAGTTAATTAGTATTTTATTATATGGCTGTGAGTGAACTTGTATACATTAGAATGTGTTATCAACCTAAAAATTCACTGCATTAGAAAATAAACTAGGTAATAATACTACTACTACTACCACACACACACAAACACACACACACATATCCAAAGGAACATTAATTTTTACTATGCTAGGTATTTTTAGTAAATTTGTCATTCAGCAAACAATTGTTTTATACCAGCTAAAACATTGGGAATATCAAGATCAATAAGACATATATTCTGCCTCAGTTGAGATCTTCAGATAGTAGAGAAGATAATACTTTAGTTTACTGTACTATACTTGACAGTAAGTGCCAAAATTGTATGAACAGTCAGGGGAAGCAGAATTAAAATTGGATCTTTAAAGAATGGGGTGGATCTTTAAAGAATTGGCTAAGGGCCCGGTGCAATGTCCTAGTGGCTGAATCCTTACCTCGAATGCACTGGGATCTCATATAGACACCAGTTCATGTCCTGGCTGCTCCACTTCCTATCCATCTCCCTGCTTGTGGCCTGGAAAAGCAGTGAAGGATGGCGTAAGACCTTGGGACCCTGCACCTGTGTGGGATACCCAAAGAGGCGCCTGGCTTCTGATTGGCTCTGCTCTGGGAATTCTCTGGGAATTCTCTGGGAATTGAATTCTCTTGGGGAGTGAACTAGTGGATGGAGAATCTTTCTCATTGTTTCTCCTTCCCTCTGTAAATCTGACTTTCCTATAGAAGTAAATAACTCTTTAAAAGAAATAAAAAGAATGGGCTGAGATATCAAACAGGTTTAAATAGACTGTTATTTAAGGTTAGCTAGATTACTCAAAGGTAAAGGGATAGAAAAGAGCACTGCTTATTTGGAGATGGCATGAAGTTACCTGTGAGTGAAGCTTAGGTTTGACTGTATAAGAAAAAAAGTAAATATTAGAAATAATTTAAATGGAACTGTGAGGACTAATCTTGTGTCAAAGCAGGTAAACCTGCTGCTTGCAACACTGGTATGCCTTATGGGCACCAGCTATTTTTGTCCTGGTGGCTTCTCTTTCAATCCAACTAGTGGTCTTGAAAAATCTGTGGAGGAAGGGCCCAAATCTTTGGGCTCTAGCCACTCATGTGGGACACCTGGATGAAGCCCCTGGCTCCTGGATCCTGTGGCCATTTGCAGAGTCAACCAGTAGATGAAGGATCCCTCTCTCTATCTTGCTCTTGCTCTCACTCTGATTTTCAAAAAAGAAAAAAAAGGGTAATTATGTGTTAGGCTATCCAGAAAAGAAACACTGTTCATTTTTAGCAGAGAAGTGTTATTGTAAGATCTATGCTTAGGGGCCCGGCGCGGTGGCGCAAGTGGTTAAGTCCTCGCCTTGCACGCCCAGGATCCCATATGGGCACCGGTTCTATCCCGTCAGCCCCGCTTCCCTTCCAGCTCCCTGCCTGTGGCCCGGGAAAGCAGTCGAGGATGGCCCAAAGCTTTGGGAACCTGCACCCGCATGGGAGACCCGGAAGAGGCTCCTGGCTTCAGATCAGCATAGCATTGGCCGTTGTGGCTCACTTGGGGAGTGAATCATCGGATGGAAGATCTTCCTCTCTGTCTCTCCTCTCTGTATATATGCCTTTCCAATAAAAACATAATAAAAATAAATCTTTAAAAAAAAGATCTATGCTTAGGAATAATTTTTTTCACAATATAAAATACAGATTTGAGGGCGAATATCCCTGAGGTAGAATTCCTAGTTAAGAGATTGTTGGAGTAGTCAAAGAAAGGAATGGAAATTACAATGAGGAATTAAAAAAAATTAGGCAAGGAGTATCCTAGCAGTTTGAAGGAGTAATATTTGATGGGTGGAAGTGTGACTTGAAGATGAGAGAAAAAGTTATACTTTAGCCCATTACACACGTTTTCCCTTTATAAATGAAAGCGCATTGACAAAAGGTTAATGGCAAATAGGCAACAAATAACTGACAAACTGGAATTGATAATTAAAATTCAACTGCAGTTTGCTTAGTGGTTAAAACATATACTATGGTGAAAAATAATTTGACAAAGTTGGTTGGTAATGTTTTAATAAATTTATTTGAAAGGCAGTTACAGAGAGCAAGAGACAAAGAGCATCTTCCATTGCCTGCTTTGCTACCCAGATGGCAACAGCAGTCTGAGCTGGGCACAGCCAAAGCCAGGAGCCTGCAGCTCCTTGTGAATCTCCCAGGTGGCTAAGAGGGTGAACACTTGGGCCATTACCACATTCACTGGCATCTTGGATCTACATTGGAAGTGGAGACATTGCGATTGAACTTAATTGGGATGGTGTGTCAAAGGCAGTGGCTTAATCTACTGTGCCATGATGCCAACGCCATTGTTGGAGAGTTTTTAAGGCGGATTCTCATTTGTACTTTGTTTATAAATATTTACTTTAGTAGAGGTTTGATTCTGTTTTTCGGATTACCTTTATTGTCTGCCAAGCTTGCTCAGTCTAACAGGTAACAGGTAAGAATGTGTTAGAAGAAGGGAGTTCAAAATTGGTTCTATACTCACTTTATGAGTACTCTTATCTGTACTTTGTTATGTGCCAAGTGTTACATATTGGGAGGTAAAACGTTTCAGTTAGAAATACTGAAAATTTAAGCTATGTTTTTTTCAATTCATAAAATTATGAAGATAAAATTTTTCATCTGATAGTCTCATTGCTCTTCAACTTTCATTTTAAAAAAGAACCGTGGGGCCCAGCATGGTAGCCTAGTGGCTAAAGTCCTCATCTTGCATTTGTCCGGGATCTAATATGGGCACTGGCTTTTGTCCCAGATGCTCTACTTCTTTCCCAGCTCCCTGCTTGTGGCTTTGGAAAGGTTTTGATGACTCAAAACCTTGGGACATTGCAGCATATGGGAGACCCGGGAGTAGCTCCTGGCTCCTGCCTTTGGATTAGCTCAGCTCTGGCCATTGCTGCCACTTGGAAAGTGAAACAGTGGATGCAAGATCTTTCTTTCTGTGTCTCCTTCTCTCTGTATATCTGCCTTTCCAATAAAAATAAACAAGTCTTAAAAAAAAAAAAACACCTTAGGAGCCAATGTCTAAATGAGGTGACAACTATTATTGTCATTTAGTTAGGCACAAAATTCAGCTAAGGCACTAAGAAACCTACTTTGTAAGAAAAAAACTATTCGGGTCCGGCACGATGGCCTAGCGGCTAAAGTCCTCACCTCGAATGCCCTGGGATCCCATATGGGCTCCAGTTCTAATCCCAACGGCCCCACTTCCCATTCAGCTCCCTGCTTGTGGCCTGGGAAAGCAGTCAAGGACGGCCCAAGGCTTTGGGACCCTGCACCCATGTGGGCGATCCGGAAGAGGTTCCTGGATCCCGGCTTCGGATCGGCACAGCACCAGCCGTTGCAGCTCATTGGGAAGTGAATCATCGCACGGAAGATCTTCCTCTCTGTCTCTCCTCCTCTCTGTATATCTGTCTTTGTAATAAAAATGAATAAATCTTTAAAAAAAAAAAAGAAAAAGAAAAAACTATTCAGTTTTGTGGTAAAGAGATACTCACCATGGAAATAGATTTCAAAGAAACATTATTAGTCCTTTTGATTTGCTTTTTAAATATTTGCATATTTTGACACTAAATTCATTTTAGAAAGTTTTCTTTAAATTCTAGAAGTAAAAACCAATTAGAAAACATTTCACTGTGGTTTTTGAGTTCTGCTATGTATTAATGTTCTCGCTAATTTTGAACTCAAGAGATTAGAAGAGGCATATTTAAATTTATCCAAGTAGTCATCTATTTCCATGTTATTTATAGCAGTAATAACTTGCAAGTATATGGCAGTTTTCTAGGACTTTTAGCTTTTCATGCACTTCCTTTATCTGTTTATTTTTTTAAGACTTACAAAGAAACAGGGAGAGACAGATCTTCCGTTTACTTGTCCCCTTCCTGAAAGGCTGCATTGGTCTAAGCCAGGAGACAGCTGCTTCATGTGGCTCTCCTGCGTCAGTGGTCGGGGCCATAGCCCCTGGGCTGCCGTCTGTGGCTTCCCCGGGCCATTAGCAGGGAGCTGGATCAGAAGTGGAGCAACAAGACATGAACTGGCACTCATATGGAATGCCCGTGTCTTATGGAGTGGCTTTACCCACTAGGCTACAATGCTTCCCTGGTTTCCAATATTTTTAAGTCAGTCTTAATTATTTTTGTCTGTTTGCTTTCTGTTTGTTTTCCCCTGAGATGTATTTCTAAGTAAGTGGTAGTTTTATCTACTACACCATAGCACTAGCCTCTGCTTGTCATTTTAGTTCTCTCAGATAACCGTAGGAGGTGGGTAGAAATCCCCCCCCCTTTTTTTTTTAATCACAAAACTGTACAGTTAGTGAGTGGCAAAATCAGGATTTAAACTTTGGTCTGTTCAGCTTTGAAACCCATATATTTAACTCTGTTTTATCACTTCATGGGGGTTTGTTAAATTATCCTTGTAATGAAGTTTTTGGTTTGAATTATTTTGAAAATACTTTTTCTATAATGTTTTTTAATTATAAATGATTGTGTGCATGTGCACTTTCATAGTAATTTCTAGGTAAGAGGCCAGTAAGTAATTATCAGGTGACAGGTTATATTTACTTTAAAATTTATACCCAAATTTGTTGTAATTATAATGTAGAAATTTATTTTGAAGGACAACATAGGATTTTTTTGGGGGGGTGTAAAATACACCCTGATTTACTGAACTATAGAGATGCATTGTTTTAAATGATTCCAATTTCCTAGAACACTGCTCTCATTCATCAATTTTGTTTTCCTAAAATACTGTTATAAAAGCCACTGAATAAGCACATGGGATTACAGATAATTTATCCAAACTTTAGGAACAAGTTCCATAGCTTTTTAACATATATTTATAACACTTATTGCTTTATTTGAGAGGCAAATTTATAGAGATAGGAGGAGAAATAGTGAAAAATTGATTTACTTGCCAAATGGCTACAAGTGGACTGATCTGAAGTTGGGGTCAGGAGCTTCTCCAGGTCTCTCACAGGGGTGCAGGGACCCAAGGAGTTGGGCTGTCTTCTGCTGGCTTCCGAGGCACTTTAGCAGGGAGCTGGATTGGAAGTGGAGCAGCTAGGGATCAAATTGGATCCAGTAGGGGATGCCAGCATCATAGGCAGAAGCTTAACCTAAGACATTATGGTGTCAGCCCTGGGTTTTAATGTTTTATATTTGTTCTAGTATAATATGAATGTGTAATTAGAAACAAGCCATAGTAAATGTAAGTCGACGGTATTAATATATAATCGGATGTTAAGAATGTACTTTACCAGTTGTATTTTCAGTTTATTCAAGTTTTAAAATTTCTTTTTTTTTTTTTTAATTTCCCCAAGTCAAAATACCTTATTTTTTTTTTTTTTTAAAGCACTGGTTGTAAAAATAGTGATTTTAGAAAACTTGATTTCCCCCTAACTACTTTGTGTTTGGTTTCCCTTTTTCAACATAGATTTCTATGGGAAGCCACTGCCTCCTGTGACTGTGCGACAGAGACCTAACAGTGATGCGCATGACGTGATCGCATAACCTGGTCCTATGGATCAGCTCTCGTAGTATCAGCAAGGTGTCCTGACACTTCCTCCTCAAGAAGAAAACCTCTGAGGGTTAATGATTGGGGCGAGATGACCATGATGGTTTCCGGGCTCTGACTTGATGTTTGCTCTGCATTCTTCGTGGTTTAAAAGAGAAAGGAAACAGACTGATCTGTAGATTGCTCTGAGCATTTGGACCATATGAACAAGATCGAATATTGACCTTTTGGTTGGCACCTTCTCACTCTTGGGCATATTCCTGAAGGAAAATCTCTTCAGAAATAGAGCCAATGGACTCTGCATAACTTCTTTACTATTTGTTTAATACTCTTTATTTCTACATATTAAACATTTTTTATAGGATGTGTAAGAGAATTGGGAGTTTATTAGCCACATTTTTAAACTATTTTTATATTTTTCTAAAGCTTGGTTAGAAATTTTATTATTTTACTGAATGTGCACTTTTCTTAAATGATTTCTTTAAATTGTGTCTGGAAAACAGTTAATTTATTTGTCAGACCATGAAAAGTCCTCCTACAAACAGGATATATTTATATGGCTTTAAGTATGTTTTATAATGACATGGTTTCTAAAGTGTACATCAAAATTTTACATCATCTTTAAAATGATACTTTTTTTTTTATAAAGCAGATTGAGGTTTTTATTCTGCCAAATTATGTAATTTGGAATAAATACTCAAGAAGAGAGTTCAGTTTTGTTGTTGTCATTTTGTTTTCTCTTTTGATAATCTCAATAAAGGAAAGGGATTTAAAATACCCTTTTTATCTAAATGTTCTGATTTTAATAGCTCTGTGTACTACTAAAAGTCCCAATAAGCTCTTGTCTTAAGGGTTAGTCATGATCACGGACCAATGGGCTTCCTGTCAAAATCTATAGTGCTTTGTTTACTCACTCCCATCTTGCAATTAACAAAAAGACTAGAACAGCCACTGTGGGCCCAAAGACTAACTTGGGTACCAGTGTTCAAAATACAAATGTTGGTTCAAACTTACTTTAGATTTCTAAAATAAATTTTCAAGTTAAAATGGTAATACTTTCAGTGAGATTGGCATTTGTAAAGTTCTTTGTTCTTTTGTCATTTAAATAAAGTGTTAGATGTGTATTTTGAGTATTAGATTTACAACGTTGAATTCAATTAAAAGTATATGTAAGAATACAGTAAGGCAGTTTTTATTTCCCTTTACTAAGTCTGATACAAGTGGTACCTTACACTGACAACAGACCTACCAAGTGTTTGATGATGACTTTGCTGAGTGAGTTACACAGTTTAATACGACTACTTTTAAAGTTTTGTTGTAGAGCATAATTTTATTCACATTTTTTAATTCACTGAGTTTTATTAATCAGGTTACTTATCACTATAGTCCACATTGTACAGATTCCTGGAGCTTTCACATGGGACCTATCTGGCACACTAAATAAAAGCATTCTACTGTATATATAAATGTCATAGCAATCTAAATTGGATAAGTAAGTGAAATGTGAGGAAAACTGCCACAGTAAGACAGGATGTAAGGAATGGGTTTTAGTGGGATAATTGTATATTGTTTCAATTTCTTTTGTAACATTTATATATTTTGACACTAAATTCATACTTTTGTCATTTTTTAATACTCATCTACTTTGAGAGTAAATGTGTTTGAAATCTGTTTCCTACCGGGATTTACTGTAGGTTACAGTGATTACTAACTGCTTTTAATGAAAATAACAATGATTTTCAAATTAAATCCAAAGTAATTTTATATAGCTCATTAAAATTATTTCTATTATTAAAACATGAATATACTTTTAAGGTATTTTATAATTCCAGATGGATTTTAATAATTAAATGGCTATTTTGTTATATGCTGCACTTTTATTCTTAATCATTCTGTATAGCATTTTCATGTAATAAAATAATTTATATTAGTATGTTGTTTCTCTTTTCATTTGGTGAATTTAAATGGTTTCCTTTGCATAATAACAGCCTTTTAAAATATAACAGTTGAAGCAATGTAAATGAGCATATTAAAATAATGCAGCTTTCATCATTTTATATGAAAACTTTACAAGTTTTGTATATGTAGCAAGGAATGTGATTTTTAAAAGTTATTTTTGATTCTAAATGATGTGATGTGTGTCATGTTAAAACAGGTATGTTTTATTCTTTTAAAAGATAATGCTGTATGTCTTCATAAATGGACATGTACATACCACGTCTCTGATGTAGATGTAATTAATGGCAACTATCAAACTATGCATCGAAAGTACATTAGAAAGAAATGTCACAAAACACTGACAGTTTCTCTCGTTTTCTCAATTTTTTGAACTATATTCGTACTTTTATGCAGGGAAGAGCAAGTTAGAACTTTACATCAATTATTTAAATGCATGTTTTCTGCCATTTTTGCATGAAATGACCTTTTAAATTCTCTTTGAAAGTAGAAATTCTAATGAATATCCCGGAACAGCTTTCCACTACAAATTACCAGTATATTTGCAACTGTCATTTTGCCAAGTACTCTTTTACCGTGCCAACATTTTGAAATGATACTTGTTGTATTGCACCATGCTGCTCAGTTTCTCCCTATCCAACCAAAGAAATCAAATGCTTCCAGGTGCCAAAGACTTCTCAGCAGCGAAACTGTGTATACAAATAAAATGGTAGCCTATAAACTTCATTGTTCTTAGATTTAATACCTAAACTTTCCTTTAAGTGACATACTACTTTAAATCTCAGATACTGTTAATACTGCTTATGTATGAATATATATATGTGTGTGTGTGTATATTTCAGTAGATGCAAAGAAAACTTATTTCAAAACTTAGATTATTTGTGGTATGGTGTGGTGTGGTTATCAAAACAGCAACAATCGCTTACCTTGGTGAAGACAGATTAACAGAAAGCCTTTTTATATTTTTATTTTTTAGAAAAAGTGGAGCAAAGAAATGAGTTTAATGAAAGGAATCAGGTTAAAATTAAATGGAACATTGGAAAAATTGTTTGCTCTTTTTAAGACATGAATTATAAATTCCCGGGGCCAGCCATGTGGCATATCCGGTTAAATCTCTGCCTGCATTGCCGCCATGTCACTTAGGCACTGGTTCAAATCCACGCTGGTTCCATTTCCAGTCCAACTCCCTGCTAATATGCCTGGGAAAGCAGCAGAGGATGGCTCAAATGCTTGGGCCTTTACAACCGAATGGGACCTGGAAGAAGCTCCTGGCTCCCATCTTTGGACTGGCCCAGCTAGCCACTGGGGCCATTTGGGCAGTGACTCAGACATTTGGTAATGGGACCTGAAAATCAGTGTAACATCAGCAGTGCACACTGGGGCATTCACTGTTTCCTAGTCTCTGCCAAACGCTTTACATGTGTGATTCATATTAACCAGGTAGTAACACCATTTAGAGGAAAAAAAGAAATGGCACGATTTAACTTTTTTTTTTTTTTTAAAGATTTATTTTTATTATTTTTTCATTGGAAAGGCGGATATACAGAGAGGAGAGACAGAGAGGAAGATCTTCCGTCCGATGATTCACTCCCCAAGTGAGCGCAACGGGCCGATACTGTGCCAGTCCGAAGCCAGGAGCCTCTTCCGGGTCTCCCACGCGGGTGCAGGGTCCCAAAGCCTTGGGCCATCCTCGACTGCTTTCCCAGGCCACAGGCAGGGAGCTGGAAGGGAAGCGGGGCTGCCGGGATTAGAACCGGCGCCCATATGGGATCCCGGGCGTGCAAGGCGAGGACCTTTAACCACTTGCGCCACCGCGCCGGGCCCACGATTTAACTTTTAAAAAAATGATTTCTTACAATACAGTGTTACAGGTATAGGGATTGCCTCTTCCTCCTCAGTTCCTCACTGTTTTCCCCCAAATGATTTTTCTGTTACTATATTTCGTGAATGTTAAATACCTGGGCAATAAGGACTTACCATTTTTGGCATAGTCAGATTAAGGGCTTCTGAGAACGTTCAAAACTTGAGGCTATAAAACATAACAAACATTACTTTATGTCATTTGCTCACATAATTCAAGGTTGGACTTTCGGAGTGCAGGTCGCTAAGCCCCGCCCACCTGTCGTGGCCCCGCCCTCCGCACCGGGCCACGCCCCTCGTCACCGCCCTCGCCTACAGCCAACGTGACTGGGGAAACACCTGCGTGCAGAAACGCGGACAGCGCCTGTGTGTCTCGCGGGATCTCAGCGCACTCGGCGAGATCTCAAAACTCAAGTAAGAGCTCGCGAGAACAGGAAAAAAGCGAGAGAAGGAGCCCGGAAGTGTGGCGGCATTGGAGGCCGAGTCGCGTCGCCGTCGTTCCTGGAGGTCGCTGGCGGGATGTTGCCGACCCGGGTGAGGCCCAGGGCGCGGCCGGCGTCGGAGCCTGACAGGGCTGTCCTCCAGGCTGCGCGGCGTCGAGGGAGGAGCCGAGGGTGGGCGCCCCGTCGCTCACGGGTGGTTTCGCCCGGTCCACAAGCTGTCCCCTCGCTGTCCCGTCCACTCGCCCACAGCCGTCGTCCCTCGCTGCCAGGTCCACACGACGTGCCCTCGCTGCCCCGTCAACCCTTCCACACGCCGTCCCCTCGCTGCCCCGTCCACCCTTCCACACGCCGTCCCCTCGCTGCCCCGTCCACCCTTCCACACGCCGTCCCCTCGCTGCCCGGTCCATCCTTCCACCCGCCGTCCCCTCGCTGCCTACAGCCCGACACGCGCTGACTCCTCAGGGCCGTGGGCAGTGCCCGCTCGGAACTGACCCTCACTGGCCTCTAGCGTGAGTGATGCGGGGCAGGCAGGCTTCAAGGCGGAACTCATGGGATTTTTCCTGGATAAACTATTTTGGACGTGTTCTTTATTTAAAAAAAAATGGCAAATGCAGTGCAGAGGCTCATGTCTCCTGAAGTTAAAGGTCAGCTGTGACTTTTTGAAGTCGTCATTTTGTTTACTTAGGGTCGCTAGAATCTGCTTTAACCTTGACCTTTGACAATCATTAGGAGAAATCCCGCTTTTTCATAAGGACAATGCTGTGATGTAATTATGTTACCTGTGAGATGTTGCTCCCATTGCAAAATGCAGTAATTTGCCCAAAAGAACTTTCCCTTCAGGCAAACTGCAAATGTTGAAAGTCAATAAATTTGTAACAATACCAGTGTGTCAGCATCTTTTTCTTATCATCGTAGCTGAAAGCACAAACAGAGGGGAAGCTTGCAAAACAGATTTGCAAAGTTGTGTTGGATCATTTTGAAAAGCAGTATTCCAAAGAGCTTGGAGATGCCTGGAATAAAGTAAGGTCAGTGCAATTCATCTCTTTCTACTTGTGGTACAACAAAGCAACGTTTGGGGTGGAACGGTAAAAGGAAATCTGGCTGGCCTTTGCCTTTGAGGGTGTGGAAGGGGAGAACTAAGAGGTAACACATTGAATCCTAAGATGTAAAGGGGAGAGAGAAACCTTTTTTCGTGACAGGAAGCAAAAATTGTTAGGCTTTTGTCTGGAGCAGTAGCCTTCATCCTTGCAATAAGAATGCCTACCAGTTTGACCAATGAATTATACAGTAATTGAAAATCATGAAACTTGTTGCCATATTTACCTAGTCTTGAGCTGCAGTAAATGACACAACACATTCTGAATGGCAACACTGCTGTTTCTTAGCTGATGTCACTCTCATAGTTTACTCCTGTTTTGTCTGACTAGTTGTATTTTGAACATAAACTCTTCAACTATAGTATAAAACATGCGAGAAATGTTCATTCATAAGCCTGATTAAGGAAAGTTTGATTTTTGTGCTGGAGTATTGCTGTGGGTCAGAGTGTTACAGTATGGAAGCTTCGCGTGGAGTGCCTGGTATAGTATAGGATAATGTCCCCTGAAATGCACAGAGCAAGACCAGCTGCAGCTTGAGTGTGATGAGAAGGATGTAATTACAGCTGGTGAGCTGCTGGCTTGTGAGCACTATGGAGGTAAGAGGACCTTATCCTGTCAGAGAAAAGCCCAACCTTGGACAAAAGCAGAAATCACATAAAGATAATACTGAACTTCAAACTTGAAATTCAGAAAAAAAAAAAAAAACAATACAACCAGTCTTTAATGTCAACACTGCCTTATTTTAGCCAAAGTCATACATTCTGGTCATTTTATCTAACTATTATATCTGTGTCTTGCTTTTTATACACATGTTGTGCACATATACACATAAATTTGAGACAGTAATCTCAGATTTTGACTTGCTTCATCTCTGTGGATCAACCTAAGAAATTATTTTGTTAGGAAATGAGAGAGAAGGGCTGGTGTTGTGGGGCCTGTATCAGTGGCTTGCCATCTGGGTGCCTATGAGTCGCAACTGCCTCACTTGCCATCCAGCTCCCTGCCATTGCACCTGGGGAAAGCAGTGTGCCGTGGCCCAGGTGCTTGGGCTTCTGCCACCCCTGTCGCAGAGCTGGAGAACATTCCTGGCCCAGCCACACCTTCAGCCCTTGTGGCCAGTGAACCATTGGATGGAACATCACTATCTCTGTAATTCTGGCTTTCAAATAAATTCATTTTTGAAAAAAGGAGGGAAGGCAGGTGGTAGGAAGCATTCAGAATTGTGCCTATGAGCCACATTGAATTTCTTCTCTAAAATCGCATTCCATGAGACTTGATCAGGAGCATGCTGTAATTATGCACTTCCCATGATCCTCAGAACGCATTAATAAACTGCTTAAGCTACAACGGCTGGAGCTGCCCCGATCCTAAGCCAGGAGCCAGGACCCTCTTCCTGGTCTCCCACGCAGGGGCGGGGGGTCCCAAGGTCTTGGGCTGTCCTCAACTGCTTTCCCAGGCCAAAAGCAAGGGGTTGGATGGGAAGTGGGATTGCTGGGATTAGAACCGGTGCCCATGTGGGATCCTGGCGCATTCAAGGTGAGGTCTTGAGGCACTATGCTACCACGCCGGGCCCTTGAGTTGTTCTTATTTGTAAAACTAAACATCAAAATGGATGTCTTCTGTCAGAAGAAAGAATGAATGATGAAGAAGAATTACGATATTTTTCAGTATGCACAGATTTGAATGTGTGACTGAATATGTAGTGCAGGTTTGTTGAGTACCACACAGTACTGTGTGAGGTTTGTTTTCTATGTTCACTTGAGGATGCTGCAGAAGTTTAAGTAATTTTCCCGAATTCACATAGCTGGGAAGTGGTGGACCGAGACCTGAGCCCAGCTCTCTGACACAGGAACTTCCACTTGGTGCCTCTCAAGGCTGGGGTGTGATTAAGCATAACCTGGATGATTTCTTAAAAAGAGATTTGAAGAAGCATTTTTTGCAGACTTTGTAGTAATCTGGCTACTTCCACCCTATAATGAGTTATTATTCTATTTAGTTTGCTGAGACACAGTTGGAAATTATTACTTGACCCAAGACACAATGATCAGTGAGCCCTAAATTGATCTAATTAGTTGTGTCTTCTGCTTCATCTACCATTTTGTTGGGTTTTCATGGTAATTTAAATTTTGCATAAACATGCTAAATTTGCTGTAAGTGAAATAAAGGCTCGGAGGAAGTGATCTGAGCAGGGAAGGTTGTATGTGGAGTTCAAAACAGAATGGTATCTTTTATATAGCTTCTTGCATGACATTCTGCTCCTTGAGCTTATTTATTTCTAAGAAAACAGTGATTTTTTTTTTAATCTGCAAAGGAAGCAATTTATTGACTTTCTAATTTCCTGAAGGGGAAATTTAATACTTAATTTACTGTTGCTTTCAAGAATACTATTGTATTCAAGAAAAATACTGCTATTCATTTCAAAGAATGACAGAGCTTTTTTCATTTGCTGGTTCACTCCCCAGATGGTCACAGTGGAGCCCAAACCAGGAGAGCAAAATCCCTGCCAAGTCTCCTGTGTGAGTGCAGGGGTTTCCATCCTGGTTTGGGACGTCAGCATCACGTGCACTTGTTCATCCCGCTGTACCACCTGCGGGCTCCCCATTTTATTGTTTAATAATATCCTTTCTTGCTGTGTTCCCCTCAGAGCTTCTTCATGATTGGCATTTAGTCTGATTCAGTTTCTGCTCTCCCTGTTGCTTATATATTCTCAGATAATGCCAAATTGGGGCATGACTCCAGAATTCTGTGAATGTGCTGTCATCTCAAGCTGTACCATCCTGTACCATTCGGTTCCCTTCTTACAAGTTGGTCATGCTAGCAAATTTAATAGCATAATTATATGTTCCATTATCAAATCTGTGTTACCTTTCCTACTTTATGTATTTTACTTCACTTGAAAGCTTCCTTCTTATCTACACTTTCACTTTGTTGGTGATAAAGAATGAGCTTTACTTTAGAATAGGTCTAGCGTTTACTCTCAGCTGCTTGGAGGTGATCTACGTTTGCCTGATAAGGGTGCTTTTGTTTACCTGGGACCTGGGGTAGTAGTCCTACTGGGATTCATGTTGAAAGCTGTGGACTACAGATTACTGGCTCAGCCCTTAGGCTAGAGATTTAAATCCAAAGCATGGGCAATCCATCATGTGTACCCAAACACACCTCCACAGAAATGCCAAGGATTTGGTGCGTGTCCATGGTTGGCAAAACTCTCATGCATATTGCCGTACGTCCTTGCTGAGGAAAGTTTTGACCATGATTATGCTGCAACAGCAAGTGGAGGCTTAATGCATTATGCTTATGTGACTGTGTAGTGTGAGTGTTTTCCTATGACAGATTGAAATCTATGCTCTTCTTGTAATAAATCCTAACTATAATTTGGTATGACAGTTTTCAGTGTGTTCTGTGTTTCCAGCCAGTGGATAATTAAGCCTGAGGCCGTCTTGGAGACCCTTAACTCGTGGTTGATATTGGAATGTGGATGATCTTGGGGATTCCCTGGCTATCTGCTGTTCTACAGTACCACCCTGCCCTCATCAAGCTCTGAATGCCTACCAGATACTATTGCTGCTCACCTGTATTGATTTGGATCTCTGTTTCGTTTCCTCATAATATACTGTTAGACCTTTTATTTTCCCCCCTGATGCACTGCTTCTGCTATGGTCTAGGAATTTTAGTACTTAAGTGCTTAATTTTTTTGACAAGCACTTTCATTGTGCCAGGCAATGTTCCAGTGACACCTCAAGTATCAGTCCTTTGCATAAGACTCTGCATTAAGTATTAGTTCCATTTACTGATAGGAAAGCTGAGGTACCAGGAGATGAAGTAACTTGCATACCAAACTTAACATTGGAAGAGCCTTGAGAATGTGTCTTACCCACCAGTCCTGCTGCTCCCCGAGTGCTACCATGTTCCTTATGTCAGCCCTAGGGAACAGTCAGCTTCTATGACTGCAGCATAACATCTATACCAGAGATGTTAGCCAGCTGGAGGCTGTTTCATGCTGTTCCTTCTCCACGATGCCCTTTTCATTTGTTCCTTTTCTTACTGTACAGTGATTAGTAATTTATGTTCAAATTCTGCCTTTATATTGTAACTTAGGACCTAGGTGAGTTACTTAAAATCTGTGCATTTCACTGCCCTCTTCTGTTAAATGGGAAAAAGTGGTCTCTAAATACTGTCCTTTGGAAATATAAGATTACATGTATGATTTTTTAACATATAGTAAGTTCTTGACACGTGTTAGCATTATTATCTGTTTTTCATGATGGCTTCCCTCATGCCTTAATTAGTTCTGTCCTTTGTTATTTCCATTTACTTTGTTGATTCACTGCTATAATTCTTGAATATATTATTGTCATAATTAATTTGTAAACAGTCCTGACATAAGAGGATTCTAAAACTTGTCCTTTAAGACTTGGGGCAGTCTTCTGTTTATCCTCCATTTGTATTATGTTTACTACTGGGCACTGAGGATAAAAAAATGGACTATGGTGTATATGTCTCCTGTCCTCAGGGGGATTAATTGGGAGTCATTATGAACTTTGAAAACATGTTGCTTACATTATAGAAGGCAGACAACAAAAATATTTACTGTCGCCGCCGCCTTCCAGCAGCGGTAACACTAAAAACGATGAGGCACGCTCACTGCCAAAAGTGGCTCCATTTAAATCCTTCTCTCTGTTGCTTCTGTCCCCATTGGTCTAAGCTTTCCTCCCCGTTTCTTTGGCCAGCCCTCTTTCTGCCACCCTTCCTCCCATTCTTCTTCCCATACTTTCCCTGTCTCCTTTCCACCATCCGTCTTCCCACCCCCTAGTCTTTCTCATCTGTCTTCATCTATCTGTCATCTGTCGCAGACGTGCTGTCATTTCGTCATCGTAGTCTGTCTGTCCTCATTCCATCCGTCTGTTCGTGGTCCCCTAGGCTTTTAC